TATGCTGCGGTGTCTCCAAAGACTGCTATGCTGCGGTGTCTCCAGAGCCCGTCTATGCTGCAGTGTCTTCAGAACCCGTCTATGCTGCAGTGTCTCCAAAGACTGCTATGCTGCGGTGTCTCCAGAGCCCGTCTATGCTGCAGTGTCTTCAGAACCCGTCTATGCTGCAGTGTCTCCAGAGACCATCTAGCTTGACCCTTGTTCACCAGTGCTAGTCCCAGGCATATTGCCAGCATCTAACTCTTTAGTACCTGTGACTCAATCCTGGACCTGAGCACCCTGCGCAGCTTCTGCCCTCCCAGTGGGATCAACTGGGGCATGGTTGCCATTGGTGCACCCCAGAGCCACTGCCAGCAGCAGGCCCAGTGCCCACAGTTCCTACTCGGATTCCCATGGGCCTGCAGTACCCACTCCAGTCGTTTCTATCCGGTCCTTGAGAAAGAATGTGCCATGAAATGGAAAGTGCCTGGTTACTGCCTCTCCTGGCAACCCAAGGAGTGATTTTATTTACTATGGGTCGCAGAATTAGTACAGGACAGTATAAACACCGGTCAGCATTATTAATGTTAGGGAAAATATTTATTCACAAGAAGCTGACAAAGTGCACATATATCTCCTGTACAGCACAATGACTGTAAATAACAAGATCACTGATGATGAACTGGTTGATATACTTTTATAAAAGTTTACCATGATGAATGCGGATTTCTATAAAACCAAAACGAACGTATGTGTTTTCAGAATATTAGAGTACAGATAATCACTTACGAAGTGCACAAGCTTAAACATATAACATGTAAATATAGTATAGGTCTATAAACAGAATTTTGGAAGTCATTTTAAGACATCCGTAACGGAAAAAATGGACTTATTGGCGAATAGATTAAAGAAATAAAAAACACGTAGTCTGCTAAACATGACTATCCAAAGCGTCGGTTAATATGAGAACCAGAACTAAACGGTCTATGCTCAAGCTGATTTACCGTGCCAATAAAGCGCTTTGAAAAGCGAGCACTGATCCCAAACGTGCGGACATTAAAGATAAAGGCAGATTAAAATTAGCTGTAATTTCCCCTGTTTTCATTCGGCGTTTCCCGTATTTGTTCAGTTCCATGAGTAGCATTGTGTCGTTTTCTGCGTAGAATTATCTGGTATCCTACCATCTATACTCATAACCGGGAATAACAATATTATAACGTGTATTGAGATTTCAGACTGACACACATATAGCGAATTAATTATGGCGAGAAATAGCCACCTCAAAATCGCTTACAATAAATGTTATCACTGGCGTGAGTCTATAAACGCTGTGGAGCCATACTCGGATTTGTCGGAAGTCAGAATGCAACACGGTTTCCTTATGACACTTTAGAAGACTTGAAAGTAACGCCTTTCTTATATAAAAAAGACAGTGAAGGGTCACAGCGAACATCTATAATTACAAAAATAATAATAATGTAATTCACAGATGGTTAATATGAGTTAATAATAAGTTAATATATTTCACTATGTAATTTAAGTGAAGAAGGTTATCTTATTATAGTTTTATAGCAGGTGACGCAGGCTCTAAGAGTGGTTTCTCGGGATGATCTGATACCCTTCAAACGAACACCTGTTTTTAGGCATACAGTTACGATACATGCCGCTTCATTGTAGGGTGGAGCATCGCATGTTTTAAAATGAAAAACGTTCTTTAGCGCCCCCACCCAAAGTAAATTAGTTTAAACAGCGTGATCTCCTTCATTTCCGGATAGTTTTTCTTGACAATGTAACGCATTACTTTACTTCATTTAAGTCAGATTTACTGGAAATATTCTGTTAAATATTCAAGATGATAAAAGATGATAAAATATCACAATAGTTCGATTATCTAATATTAATATTTACTATTCCTAAATCATGAAAGCCAGTCTATCTGTGATGTTTCACTTTATGAGATAATGACTCTGCCGTTTTCTAAACATTTCTTGCATAAATATTTATATGAATGAATTTCTCCGACGAGGTGCCCATACTCTCATTTACATTTGTATTGGCACTGAGTCCTCAATACACTCCTTGTCCTGGGTAAAATGTAGGCTGCTCTTAATGGCAGACAGATAACGATGGAAGGATTTGCTGCTTTCCATTAACTGCACTCTGTCCCCTTTCGAGCAGGAGTTGTTGGATAAATCACAGCATGCATTGGAGATCCACACATATACTGGGTCAGCATAATCACCACATCACCAGTTTCTGGTCTGCAGAACTAGAGGCTTGTGGGGAGAGCTTTTAGGGAAGGTGCTACAGCGCCACCATGCTGTATGCAACGAGTCTCACAGCAATATACAGTAGCTATATGACACAGCAGGTCTTTGCCTGTCTGTGAGCCTTGTCCCAAGAGCACATTCAGCTGCAACATGGAGCAGATTAGGTCATGCTCCCTCACAATGCAGGTGATGTGCTTTGATGTGCATGACTTCCTGAGCAACCATTCGTTCAACACAAAGTCAAAGCAATGATACACAAGCAATCTGCACAGAGACACAGTCCCAAACAAGCTCCATTGTTTGGGACTCCATTGACTCTGCAAAGATCACAGCATCATCAGCAAAGTGAAAATCAGTAAATCTTTCCTCCCCAACAGATCCCTCACTGGATCCTACAACCCTGCCCAACACTGAGTTCATGTAAGCACTGAACAGAGGAGGAGCAAGAACACACCCCTGATGAACCCCAGAATCCACTGGGAAGAACACAGAGGTTCTGCCTCCCCTCTGCACATTACTCACAGTACCAGTGTACAGGCGGGCCATGACACCCAGCAACTTTGGGGGATCCCGCAAAGTCTCAGGATGTCCCACAGGGCAGTTCGATCAACTGAACCAAATGCTTTACAAAAATCAATAAAAGCTGCAAAGAAAGTCCGCTGATGTGCGTGTTTATACTCAATGAGAACCCTCAGTGCCAGGATGTGGTCAGTGGAATTCTTAGCTGTAAAACTAGACTGCTCCATCTGCTGGTAGGTGAGCAAGTGATCACAGACCCTACTGAGGATGAGGCGTGCAAGTGATCACAGATACTACTGAGGATGAGGCGAGCAAGTGATCACAGATCCTACTGAGGATGAGGCGAGCAAGTGATCACAGATCCTACTGAGGATGACCCTAGCAAGGACCTTACCTGGCAGTGTTTTCTCCCTGTAGCTGCCACAGTCCAGGCGATCACCTTTCCCTTTCCAAACAGGCACAACTCAGGCACAGGGACAAGTCCCATTTTCCAGTCAGTTGGGTTATCACCTCTCTATAAGGAATGCTTGCAATGCCAGCCTTACCACCAGCCTGGAGTTCTCACCAGATACCACAGATCCCTGATCAGCAGATCAGCATTCACACACAAGTCTGCAAGTTCCTCACACAAACTGCCTGCAAACCCATTAGAATCACCTGATCTTGAAGTCTGGCCAGGTCCAGCCTCATTCTCCTAGTAGGGTTAGGGTTAGGGTTAGGGTTAGGCCCTAAGCTGAATCTTCAGAGTAGCAACAATATGTCTGTGATCAGAATTCACAAACTGGGCGCTTTGATAGACGGTGCAGTTCTGTAGGAGCCTCCCACTGCTACCCACGAGATTGTGATCGGTCTCCTCCTCTGTACCACCAGTACTGGAGAACCAAGTCCCCATAGCCAGCCCCGTCAGTGCCAGCGGTCACAATGATGTCACCCATGACCACTTCATGGGCACCCATCAACAACCGAGCGAAATTGGGAATGAAATGTCTCCCTCACCCAGATATCACTGACCATGGTCAGAGCATATACTGAGACAAGACACCTTGAGAGTCTCATAATACGCTTGATGAAAGGAGTGACATCAGACACCATCAGCAACAGCTACTCCCTCAGTATGGCAGCCATCAGAATAACCAGAAAAATAAAGGGTGTACCCACCTACAGAGTTCTGGCCACTCCCTGGTCTGCGTACCTCAGAGAGTGTATGAAGCTCTCCCCACAGCAGAACAAGACGGTCATCATGCTGGAGAGACACGATGTTCCATATGATTACTCCAGTGGGCCACCTCAGATTAGGTCCGTGGTGTTTCCTCGTAGCTGGCAAAGCCTTGGTCCACACCAGCCCTAATCCTCAGCAGGCTGGACCCCATTGGCCCTCTGGTTTCGGCTCCTGGGATGAGGCTCCCGAGGGCTTTCCCTCATCCCCTTCATGGTGCCTGCAGCCTTCCTGCGGGCGGCTGCAGCAGAGCTGCTCCCGCGGAGAGCAGAAAATAGTCCTGTCTGCACTGTTGGAGCTGTGTGAAGTTTTACGGTGGCCAACCAACGTTTTTCCCTGTATTAAGAGGACCACAAGTTTAACGTCATACCGAGGACACAACATGGGACCATTTGTCCTAAATGCAAAATAGACTGCGAGCTCCCAGACTAGATCCAGACCTAATCTGACCTGCAAGTGAGCCACAGAAAGAGATTTTACACTGTCCTTGTTTCTAGGTATACTTTGCAAATGAACTACATTCTTTAGAAAACAGCTTTAAATAATGTCCAGTGATTTTTAAAAATCTGTAGCAGAATTACCAATACCCAGAAAGCCCCTACACATCAGTGATGTGTAATGAAAAAAATACCCTACACATCACTGATGTGTAATGAATAACAGTACTGGCCACGCTATAATTGCTTTTCTTATTATGAATTCTGTCTCTGGAATATGTCCCATGTGCTAATAGAGTCGCACCACTGTGACAGGCCCTTAGGGAGTGTAAATGGCTACCTGGTGTTAAAAGGCAGCTTCTCAGGCAAACTCCACACTCTTGCTATGCATTCTGCCTTCATAAGCAGTATACTGGGAATTAAACCGACATCCTAACCATATCATGGGAATGTAAAGTCATGCAGTCGACAGAGCATGCATGGCTCTGCTTCCTAACTGTATGCGGAGGTAGAATGTTACATACAGACCTTGCTTCACACATTTTGCTGTATTCCTGGATCTCCAAGGGTTTCTAGCAGGTGTCCATCCCCCAAGTCCTTGGTAAATTACAGAGATGCCTGTGATGAGCAAAATGTAGCACTAAAATGTAGCACTAAAATGTAGCACTAAAATGTAGCACTGCACGCTGGTAATGGATACATAGGGTGGGCTTCTCCATGCCCTGCAGGACATCTCTGATATGTTCATATTTCACTCACAAAAGAGTTATTTCCTGAGAGTCCCAGGGGAAGCGGCAGGCAGGCAGGCAGGCAACCCTCTGCTGCCGGAGCCAGGTGGTCAAACCATTTCTGCCAAAACATGACTGTTGTTGCACTTCGCTGCAGATAAACAGTTTGCTTTCAGCTGCAGCTTTTCATTCTCAATATAACTGTCACTGTCAGTTAACCAGTAGACAGGACAGACTGTTGACCAGTCAACACTTTCATATTTGCAGCTGTCACCCTAATTTCAACAAAAGAAAAATGAAAAATAAAATTCATTTCCTGTTCTGGATCTCCCTGAATAGTAAGTATTTATTTTTTTTGTAATTTAGTCTGGTATTATATAAAATTGCACTTAGAACAGTAGAGTATAGGTAAATAATATCTGTAAGATTTGTTGCTTTAATAAAAATGAATCTATTAATACTTTTTCCTGGTTTACTAGTAAGAAATTTGAATGTTAATTTAAGCGTTTGTGAACCAAGCAAGAACATCATTCTATTTAGTAAGAACACATAATTAAAAAGAACTTAAATTTTGCAAGAAAGCTGTTCTAAAATATTAAAATGTAATTTCATCATTGATATTTATACAGCTTATCAGAGTAAGAGTGTCTGTCTGTGTTTCTGGTAAAGACACTTTGGTAGAAACAAAGTGAAAGGCATGTGCTGTGTCTATCTGTGGCTGATAAGAGTGTCTATGCTGAGGCAGTTATAACCCTGCACCACGCAGCTCTGTCATGGATGAACACATGCAATGGCGTGCCAGTGGCAGTGAAAGCAGGACAGAAAGCCACCCTCACCTGTCCACTGAGGACTGCCAGCCGTATGCACATCAGCTGGTACAGGCAGAGCCGCGGGTTCGGGCCCCAGTTTGTCCTCAGCTACCTGGTCCACAACGCCACCAACCTGTTCTATGGCCGGGGATTAAACTCCAGTCATTTTGCTGTTCGGGGTGGCGAGAACGGGACAGCGCTCCAGCAACTGGAGATCACCACGGCAACAAGAAACGACACAGCTATCTATTATTGCGGTGTCTCATTTTAAACAGCCAAAAGACCCAAAAACATCAATACAAAAGACTTTTTTGTGTGTTTTTTAATAAATTATGTGCTGAAGAAAAAAATCAATTACAATTTGAATTGTAGCATTAATTCCTGTTTTGTTTATATATTATGACATGAAAATGCACAAGAACAACTGGTGTAATGTTTACCTTAATGTGTGTGTGATTTTAATGACAGCAATAATGAACCTGAAACATTTGTCCAGATTTTCTTTTGCCAATGAATAAATATGAACATAACTACCCACCCATTCCATCCATCCGTTTTCTGAAACCAGGGTCACGGGGGGGGGGGGGGCAAGCCTATCCAGGAGGCTGCAGCGGAAGGCAGAGAAAACCCAGGATGGGGCGCCAACCCATGGCAGTGAACATAACTACATACACAGAATTCTTTCTGGTACAGTGGGAGTGCTGATGGGAGATATTCTTGATGTTTATTGAAATGAATGAATTTACAGTGGTGCTGAGAAAGCCACATGAAGCAACGAGGACTTCCTCAATGATATCATCAGAGATGGTGTCATTATTCTAAAGACAGAACAAGTGAGACTGTGTGTATTTGAATTTAACACCAGGAAAGGCTCAGTGAGAAACATACTGTACAAAGTCACCTGGCAACACGGCCAGTGCAGGCTGGAATGTAACAACTGCCTATGCCCGTCATTTTGATTAATTTGTCTGCAAGGTGTTAAATTAAAACAACTTATCACAGGAAAATGACTGATTTAACAATATAACAGCATGGTAGCATTGCAAATTGTTACACGATTTAAAAAAAGATTTCCTTCCCCCATGGCTGGGTGAGGGTTTTGCATGGATTTCCTCCCACATGTAGTTTGGTGAACTAGTGCCTGTAAACTGGCCCTGGAATTTGCACTGGTATTCACTGGCATCCTGTCTAGGGTGTTCCCTGCATTTCCTGGTAGGGGCTTCTGGGTCACTGTGAGTCTATGCTAGATAAGCAAAAGGGGGGGGGGGGGGGTGTAATCACACCATATAACGTTTCAAAGCCTCAGACATCATTCATCCATTTTAGCTCCGCTACCCATTTAACTCTCGTCCTGTTCAGGTACCTCTGCTGTACCTTAGCCCCCCCCAAACCAGGCTGCAATGAATGACCATTTACATTTATTTATTTGCATAAATGATTATTTACTATAAGTGGACCAAGTAGGTGTAAGTGCAGCTTTTACAATACACAACTAAAGAAAAATGATTGATGAATGAATATAAAACTCACCAATGTCGAAACTTTTTATTCTTTTTACTGATATCATGTCCAATTTTCTATTTGTATATATTTTATGTAATTCATGTCTTTTTTGAAGATATTTTCCATTTTAATTACATCCTAAGGAACAAATAGCTATTCTATTTCCAACAAGGCACGGTGATAATAGTTTACGTTAAATTCTTTATCCTTACAGCCACTTTCTCCGGCCTATTTCAGTTTTCATTTTTACTATCCTACAAGTTCTTCAAAGTCTCCGAGAGCATTACACTGGACAAATGTTTCTGCAACATAGATGCAGCGATGTCAGCAGTCCCAGGGAAGTCTGTTTAATTGATGAAAAATAAGACCAAGTGCTCTTTCCTGTTTGTTCATCTTCTCTTAACTGAATAACTGTCATAACCGCCTGAATTCACCAGAAGGTCAAACTGGTTTCACCTAGATGACTCCTCTGAACATTCTAATTCTCCAGGGTCAGTTACTCCACTCTTGTTATACTTTGAAGTTCTACTTAAGTTGTTCGAGCTCATGATTATTATTTGGGAAACCTCAATCCACCATACAGCTGATCACTAAGTATGCAATAACTTGGACAAAATCTCAAAACACTTGACTACATCAGATTAAACAATTTGATTGTATTTAAATCAATCAAATGATCAACTATGTGTTAAAAATTGTTTTGCACCACATCTGCCAACATATGTATTCTTATGTATGGCATATATTGCTTATATATTTTAACAGGCCACCCATGACTCTTACCAGGAAACGCAAGACAAAGATGGATGGGAATAATCCAGGAGGGGGTGCCACCCCATCACAGGGCAGGGAATAACCCAGAATGGGGCGCCACCCCATCACAGGGCAGGGAATAACCCAGAATGGGGCGCCACCCCATCACAGGGCAGGGAATAACCCAGAATGGGGCGCCACCCCATCACAGGGCAGGGAATAGTCCAGGAGGGGGCGCCACCCCATCACAGGGCAGGGAGTAGTCCAGGAGGGGGCGCCATCTCAGCACCGGGCAGGGAATAATCCAGGTGGGGGTGCCAACGTATCACATTGCAGGAATAGCCCAGGAGGGGTTGCCAACCCATCGCAGCTATTCACCACTTCTATATTCTCACTATTAATTTATTTAATTTCAATATGATCTCTGTTGACTTCCATTGAAATTAACTCCAACTTTTATAAAGTATTCCAGTGGCAGACTATCAGAGTTATAACTCTGCAGTCATACACATGACCACTGCCTGGCTTTTCTTTTCTATTGACCACATACTGTAGTGTTACAGATATAAGCAAAAACGCTTGTCAATCTGTTCTTCCGCTGTCCTGCACGCCTCACCGCCCCCTGCCCACAGAGCCCTCCTCGCACGCCGCCACTCACACACGGAACATTCTACAATTTACACGTTCTGCTACACAGTCAATTGCTGTACAGGGACCTAATGCTGTCTTTATCAGCAAGGCCAGATATTTAATCCTGCTGGTCAAACTAACAACTGCTCCCCATTTATCCATCTCAGCGTGCGGTGAGAGCGACGCGCAAATTTAAATATTTATGCCTGTGCTGGAGGTCTGCTCAACATCGCTGACTGCGTCCCTCACTGAAAGAATGAAGAGGACAGTCAAGCTGTGGGTGGCTTTAGTCCTGCTGAGGTAAATATGAAATGCTATCGATGACAGATTAGAATTTAATGGCTGTGTAGCACAATGATGATAAAGATGGCAAATCTTGACTCCATACAGGTCAGTAAATGGGATAAATCAAGACCTGAGAAATATTAAATTTAGCGAAGGAATCCAGCTCTTTGTTGACGGTAGGTAAGCTCAGACTCATAAGTTCATTAAAAACATACAATCTTGTAGAGGGCAACATGATCCATCATAATTCTTCCTTTACATACAAGATATTCATTATTTAAATCCTTTGAAGTAATGCATTGTTCTTTCTACAGTACCAGTACTAATATCAATTATTACTTTATAAAATTATGCATTTATCACTTGTTCATTTTAAAATACTGGTGTAGTATTAATGTTGGAAATATTAAATATTCTGCTCAGGAAATAACTAGCAATTACAGTTATCACATGCATACTATAAGGTACTTCGCCTTAATATTTTGGAACAGAAGATGACTATGGGACAGTACATTGTTAAGCATGAGGTTTGCAGCATTAAAATGGCTCTTTGTTATGTCTCTCTGCAGAGGGCTCCAGCTCTCCTCCTACGGTCGTTGTGCTTCAGCCTTTGCTGCCTGACCAGAGGAGTTCAGGCCCTGTAGTCCTGGTGTGTCTGGTACGAGGCTTACCTGACAGTCAGGTGAGACTCCACTGGACGGTGAACGAAGAGAAAATCAATGATGGAGACGCTACATCTGAAGCATCTGTAGACACTGACGGCTCATATTCTGCTACAGGATTTCTCCTAATTCCTGTGACACACTGGCACCCAAACAACATATACAGATGTATAGTAAACCATGGTAGCCATGTTTATGAAGGCAGCAGACAGGCCTCTAGCTGCTACTACGTTAAATAAACAGTAATAAGAGTCTGGCAGTGACTACATTGTCTATTCCAGCATGGTGATAAGCCTGGCTTGGAGTTACGTTTGAACGCCAGTGTATCGTACATTGCTGAATTGCTTGCAAAAATGCCCTCTAATGGACATTACTGTTATTACGTTAAACCACCTAAAGAAGACCGGTAAGGATTCCAAGAAAACAACTCGACTGGGGAGAAATAAAATATATACTCACTGTTTTCTACCTTTTTGAAACTATGTATATGTAAGCAGTATGGTTGTGCGGTAAACCGGTACTTAAAAAACGTCGTACCAGAGTTTTGAAAACTGTACAATACCAGCACATTAAAAATCGATACTTGCGAATGGGTATTTGATTAAGCTAACAGGAATCAGCCTATTTAAGTTGATAGCGGGAAACAACCGAGAGCAACGGCAGGGAGAACGCGGTGTCACGTGGTGTACTATGCAAGTAATAAAGTACTTTATACTATATGCCAAACCTGCACTCTTACCAATTATAGAAATTATATATTCCCCTAGCGTGAACTGGACATGTACCTTTTTTGTATTTGGCTCGCTTTTATTTTATTTTGAGTTAGTCGTTGCTTTAGTATTTGGTTTTCAACACTGGCGCATGCGCGACTTACATCCACGTTTAAGATCCGGCGGTGACACGCTGCGCTTTTTCACTTTGTTCAGAGGTTTTACTGGAAAAGATGGCAGCTGCTCTGGTAGCATCTGAATACACAAAGATGGGGTTCCCGAAGTAAAATATGGAGATATTCCGGCTTTAAAAATATTTATTTGAATCAACTTAACTTTAGTGCTTGAACAATTTAAATTTTGTGAATCTTAATATGCATATTAAATTATTAATATTATTTGTATTTATACGATTTAGTTTGATGGAAACTTATTTCTTACAATTGAATTGTATAAGTTTCAATGACCCAAATATTTTTTTCTGTGTATAGGGAGTGGATGTAACGAATTAGAACTACTCACATTACTGGAATTAAGCATTGTTATAGATACTTGCATTTTACGTATATTTTTAAGTTGTAATTTAACCTATTTGAGTAATTTAAGTAATCTGCTTCAATGTTTAGTTACCTTTACTGTCTTAAATAGTAATGTTATAAAAAAAAATGGTACAATTGAATACTCAATCTGGAAACCTGGCTTCTCATTCACACCTTTGTGCACTATAGTATGACATGCCTTGTTTCCATCTGATTTTTAAAGCACTAAATCAGTCTCGGCCAGGACAATGTCACCTTCTCTATATAGTTGGGTATCTGACGTGTACTGAGAAGTTCATATTTGCCTGATTAGGCATATTTCCGGGCCTGATTGGGAGTGGAAAGACGATTGCGTTTGTCTCATTTTCTGATAAAATACACACATACTATTACTAAATCTGCCCAGATATGTACTTTCCTCAAAGTGGTAACAAGTCAGTAGAATCGTGTTCAGTTAATACGAATCGAAAGCCAAATGAAGTCCTGAAGGTAAGCCTCGCTAAATGAGTCTCCCTAGATGCGCAATCGCGTCATTGCTTTCGGCTGCGCAGCATTTAAGGTGGACCGGAAAATCGAAATAAGGAGCTGCGAATAAGGAGCCAACTTCAGTCTCGTGTTTATTTCATGAAGAATAAACGTCACTAAGCGGAGTACCATAGAAGGAAACGGGATTGAATACAGTTACGTAATCCCCACAAGCGACATACAGAGAATTACGTGTGTGTGGGGTGGAGGGGGTTGGATCACATAGTAAAAAAAAAAAACACTGGAAAGTGAGTATATGTCTGATGGAATGCTTTGAGTATTTAAGAAAAAATACATGAATAACATGGCTTTTTACGTGTAAGTACATATAATTTGCCTGTAACTTGTAAATAAGTCCTTTTATTCGTTGAATTTATAAATATATAATATATATCTGGAGGGGGGGGGATATATAACGCACAGGCAAGCATTCATTTCCAGATCAAAGTGTTGCCTTGCGCAGTTTGCCTTCGTTATGCTTGAGGACAGCGACCAGCCCCCACCCCCCCAAAGAGAATCAGAACGCAGCTTTGGAAAGCTGTCTGACAGTACAGTACGTGGATGACATGCATCTGCACTAATGATATTCAGCAACCATACCAGAGTCGTGCTAAAAGTTGAGATCAAACTTTGGTTCGCTTATGTATTCGACACTAAACAAACCACACAAAAATAAAACACGGATTGATGTATAAATAACATGGTAGAGTTATAAAAATACCATGTCCATTTTGCTACCAACAGCTAATTTTGAATAACGATAATATTATTCTGCAACAAAATTTGTATTTAACAGCACCACCTGAGGAAGTGACTGAGTAATATTGCACTTTTAGTGCAGAAATACAACTGACCAACAGTAACTCATCTACCATTCCCAGGGACAGCCAGGGCAAGACATGACATCACAAGAAATATGTAAGCAAGTGTACAGGCGATTTGGGCGGAGATGCCAGCCTGAGGGACGAGGGGAAGGCACTGCATGCTGAAATGATTAAAGTACATTTAGTGTGAGCTGCTCCAGAGTTCATTTCTGTCAGATATGGGATATGGCTCTGAAATGTGACGAGATGAGCAGGAGTGTAGAGAGAAGGTCTGGGGGAACCAAGTCAGCGCATGCTGGTGACAGAGCAGCCTTCCGATGCCAGCGACTGGACAAGCTCCTCCACCCAGCGCACCTCCGCGTGCACGCTCTCCGCCAGCACCTCGTAGCGCTTCTCTAGCCGGCCGAACTTGCGCCTGAGGGCGTTGGCGGACAGCGTGGCCACCCGCACCTCCTCCTGGTTCTGCCGGCGTCGCGCCTGTGCACGCTGCAGCTCCTGCTGAATGCGCACCAGCTCCTCCTCCACACTTTCCTTCTCCTCCTTGTACCAGCTCTCCTTCTCCTCGTAGATGGACAGCAAAGCGGCCACATCCTCCTGACAGGACCTCTGGTTGCGCTCCAGCTGCTGCAAGCCCTCCTCTGCAGCCGTGATGCCCTCCATAACCTGGGAGAAGCGCTCGAAGTTGACGTAGGTGTTGTTGGGCGGCATGCTGGAATGGGACTTGATGGTGTACTCCTTCAGGCGTGTGGTCTTCAGCCGGCGACGCTCTGGCCGGCGCTCGCTCTCTTCCTGCCGGACGTTCCTGCGCTTGATTACCTGGGAGGAGGTACAAACCACAATCACCTACAGCAGACAGCACTGAACGGCCCACGATTGAACCTCCTTAGATAGGGTGAATGTGTGTGTGTGTTGGCACTAATTTCTACATGCAAAGTATGACTAAAATAGGAAAACAACTCTTAGAAGTAATTTATCATATAATACACAGACATTTATCAATGCACGTTTTTTCCATGCCTTATTTCCCAGCACTAGTAAAAGAGTACATATCTTATATGTAAACAAGTTAGGATGGTGATGTCATTGCCAAGACGAACAGGCTTAATTTAACCATAACACTGGGCATCCATGAGATTCTGACCTTGATCCATGGATGCTCCAGACTATCTTCGATCGTCATCCTTTTCCTGGAATAAATCACAGGTTCATCATGTAGTTTCCAAACAGAAGTTAATAAGTTTACATAAACCAGTTCAATGAGACTCAAATTGATGTTTTGTACAAAGAAACTGACTTGGGATCTCTGACCAGCAGCCTTCGTATGAAGTCTTTGGCCAGTTCGCTGGTGTTGGCAAAGTACTCTTCATCAAAGTCATAGTCAACAGCCGAGATGTTGGTGAGGGTTTCCTGCTTGGTCTCTCCCAGAAACGGAGAAGCTCCACTCAGCCTGTGAAGAAGCAGCTTTCATCAGCTTTCATCATCACATTATCATCAGCAGCCTACTGAAATTCGCAGAGGGAGCACAGGGATGGCACTGATGTTCAGGCGATGTGCGTGAAGGAGCTCTCTTTATCAGGGCTTTCTCCATGATGGCCCACTTTCATAATTCAAAAAGTATCTGCTGCCCACAGTAAATGTAACCACACAAACACTTACACTGTAGTATGATTACATGCTATTAGCAACTCATACCCCAAAACCAATAAGCAAACATATCAAATACAAATATCAACTTACTTTGTATACTTGCAATGCTGTTGCAACAGTACTGTTTTGTTTTTTCATTAACATGATCACTTGCCGAATGAGAGGGCTGTTGCTGTAATCCAAACAGCAAACACTCGCTGCTGTACAGTAACCCTTTCACATTTGACATTTGCAGTTTCGGTTATTTATGTGTTGGCCATGAACAATTAAACAGGAATATTTTTGGAGTTTGCTGAAAGATCGCAGAAACTCAGACAACACGTAAGCCATATACAACATTGAAAATCACATTTGGATCACATAAATTAGCTTAATGAATAAATATTAGTAATGCATAATATTTGGTAGTGAGGTAGGTAGCCTTAAGTACACCGCGGATCCATCTCAGTAACCAGCCTCATTCGTCAGTTAGCGGTCTTTGTAACCATGCAACCTTGCGTTTCTTGCAGTAACTTTTAAACTTTTCAGTGTTGTTAGTTTTGCATTTTTAGTAATAGTCCAAAACGTAGTGCTCCCAGTTTTCAGTAGTAACTTTGTGCATATCGGGGCATAATTTAGATGGTGTGTATATTTTATAAAAAGGTCTGCATACGAAATGACAAAGCAATTTGGCATGCAAAGTGTGTGGCACAGTTTGTTTAACCTAACCTTTCATTTTCATGTCTCTGTTTGCTCTTCCTAGGTGTCAACCGGTTCTTTCCTTTCAATGATCTCGCTGAAAGCCATCAATCCATTTCCATGTGTTCTTAGCGTGGCATCAAGCCTCTCATTAACTGAACTACAGAAAAGCCTTTCTGACGTGGCCAGCAACATGTGCTGACCTCCCTTCAATACCCTTATGGCCCACAGGCTAGGAAACACTGCTCTACATAATTATTATTAGTAATAAATAAACAGATGGATCGACATCAGTCACACTGCCCACTATGTGTAACCATAATAAATCAAGGCACAATAGAAGCCAGGCTGAAGCGTACTTACAGGATGTATGTGATGACCCCGATGCTCCTGCAGAAATAAGAATTAAGAGAATATTCAGGGGAAATCTGTTCTCAGGCACAGGTATACAAGAACGTTTTATGGCACGTTATATCGCTGCGTGATTTAGGTTTCTGGGTTACAGGTTAGTCTGTTTCGGTTGAAAACACCGTTATTCACAAAAAACACTATAAATATAAGACTGCCCTACTGAAACTGCATTTTCACCAGCTTCACACAAAGCATTTTGACCGACTATGGACCGAGAGCTACTGTATCTTGAACTTACTCCTGCTTTAACAATTACACTGTGATATGCTTTCATTCGGACTCAAAAACATGATCAAGGGGAGTTTCCACGGAATATGTATTTTCGATGAAAAATTCAGAAAATGCAAACCACGCACCCCAACCTTTACTCTCTGGAGGGGTTCAGCATGAACCATTGAACCAGTTGTACCATAGTACCTAAATTCTCAGTATTCAGTCTTTCCACACTACACTGAACGTTTAGCACCTTTATAAAGCCTGAGTGTGTGTACAGTGAATGAAATTAGGTCAGTTATTACTCTTGTAAGAAATTTACTTACCACATGTCTGCTTCCAGGCCAAGTGGCTCATAGTTCACAATTTCAGGTGCTGTAAAAGGTTAGCAAACCCACCTTAGCAACAAAACACAAACAATGCCACAAGCATTTTAACATGAGGGAAGCACCTCAAATGAAAGTCGAGATTGCTCACCCACAAACTCAGGAGTCCCAAAGATGTTCTTGAACTCATTGCCTTCTTTGATTTTATGTGCTATTCCAAAGTCTATGAGTTTGATCCTGGGATTGGCCACATTCTTATCTAGTAGCATAATGTTTTCAGGCTAGAACACCACACACAGAGAATTCTCATATTAACTTGAATAATGAGCAACATTTTAATTGGCCTAAGCCTTTCCTAGACCATGAAAAAAAATGGTTCAACATTTTCAGTGCAACTTCAGTATTTGGAATAACCTGTCAACTGTCTTAGCAAGTCTGCCGGGTAATTTCAGACAACCTGATCCTACCCAACCAAAGCCAATGACCTTCTTACCTTTAGGTCAAAATGGGCAATATTTTTTGAGTGAAGGTAGTGGACACCGTCCAGGATCTGCTTAAGAAACTGGGTGGCCTCCTCCTCCGTTAGGGACTCTTTCTCAGCCAGGAAGTCAAAGAGCTCCCCACCAGAAACAAGCTCTAAGATGAGGATAACATCCGTCTTGTTCTCAAATATGTCGTGCAAAGTGATGATGTTGGCATGCTGGATCTCGCGCAATATGTTGACCTCGCGTTCAATCTCTTCACAGCTGACGCCACGCCGGCTGGAGGACAACCTCCGCTTCTTGATGAACTTTGCCGCATAATCACGGCCAGTGCTCTTCTCCCGGCACTTGCGCACAATAGCGAACTGTCCACTGTAATGGAGGGAGAGTGGGAAAAGGGCAAGAAAGATGGATTTTATGATTAGTTATGACCTTTTTCCTCTATCTACCCATTTTCCATAAACAATTAACTAGCCTGGAGTCCCTGCCAGGACGCACAGGGCGCAGGACATGCCCACATTGCCAGGGTACCATACAGCCCACACACGCCCCACGCTGCCAGCGTTCCACACACGGCCCACACACGGCCCACACGCTGCCAGCGTACCACACGCCCCACACTGCCACAGACACCGTACACAATTATTCTGCAGCATGGTTTGCTGGACAGTGTGTTTAAGCAAAGTCTGATTGTTTTCGTTGACACTATTATCAAGTAGAACAAAAGCACATTAAAAGAAGATTACTTACATTCCTTTTAAATCCAGTTTCAAGAACCTTTTTTCTACTGCAGCAAATCCACAGAGCACATGCATAGTCAGGCACTGAGGTCATGCTTACTGCCAGATGAACTGGCTTCCATATAAAGAAAGTCAGTCTAGTTTGGACTTCATGAATCATGACTCACACTAACACTATCATTTACCAAGCAGTTCCTGCTTCATTGTCCCATAACCTCTTACAGAACAAAACACTACAGGACTGGGACCACGTATTTGCAAAGGGTGAATTACTGATTTCATCAGCAGTTTGCTGTACAGTATATCGTCTCTGTCGTGGGTGACGTACCTCCCCAACTCTTCACCCATTTCATAGTGCAGCTCCACATCTTCTTGCCTGAACCCAGCCATGGCACTTCAAAATGATGAAAAATTCAACTGTATCAAGGAGGAAAAGGACATTGAAAATGAATCTCCAGGCCCTCTAAATAGGTTACTATAAAGTGATTATGCTTTACTCCTGCATTTTCAACATAACTGTTACTTCCTGCATTATAAACTCATTTATTAGTAATTTAAAACAAGAAGGTTGCATTTTAGAGTCTGGCTCATTCCCATGGTACAAACAGCCCTGTACATATACAACACACAACCACCGGATTTTATAAACTATACAGAATTATATCGGTTAAATTAAATGGTCCTTATCCGTATAACCAATAATAAACCTATTCAGGATAAAAACAAGAGGGTAAGTATAGGATACATATCAACTATAACAAAGTAAAGTTGTTTCTTTAATAATTAGCATATTTACCAACGATTACCTAGCTAGAAACATGCCAGACAAGCCACCTGAAAGGAAAGAGCCAGTACGTCACTGCGGGTACTGTGGGCTAGCTGCCCGCTAGCTGTCAGGCTAAGTGCCGGCTAAATGCCCGGCTAGCAGCCTGCAATGCCGACTCTCCGGTGTCCCCATAGGCAGGACGAGGGCGTAAAGCCGGGCTCCGGCGAATTCCTTTAGCTGGCTAACTGGTGTTCCTGTACAAATACAGTTTCTGACCGATCATTACATGCTGTTTTATTCTTTTCCAGAAAGAGAATTTGATTGGATTGACTTAGCTAGCTAGCTATAACCGGCGAACTACAACTACAAACTACTTAAAACCCGTAATTCGCTCATTATCAAGAAAATCAAAAACACACCGCCGTCCGAAGCTAACGAAGCGGCTACACCCAGCACAGACTCACATCTCTATCGATCCGCTTCTTCCTTAGCCCTTTCCCGAACCGCGGCCGACAGTAGAAATACTTTATTTGGTATTAGAAAGGGAGAGATTACATCACCGCACCGTCGAGCCGCCTTAACCAGGAAAGGGACTGCGGCCAGGTAGCTGCGCAGGCTGCCGATGCTCTAATCTGCCGGCTGGAATTTCCTCCCGGGGCAAGTCTGCAACATTTAAAGTCCCAGAGCTGGGGAAAGATCACCTCCATCAAGTATGAAGCCGTGTGTATTTATAAATATGCGTGTTTCTGTAAATATATATACACAATATAGAATAAGAACAACAATAATATTAAGGCGTATATTTCTGTAAAGACACTTTATGAAAGCATAATTGTCCCTGGAAGGATTGTAATGTAATTATTGGTTTATTTTTATTTTTTTTTACAGATTTGTGTGACATTACTTGCTGTCATTCCTTTTTGTTTTATAGAATTTTATTTGCTAATGAGCATTATTGAAGAGATTTGTTGAAAGAAAACCATTATTGAGCAAGATGTGTACAAGTAGTACAAATAATGTGTGCTACTTATACACTTTCAGAAAAAAGGGTACAAATTGTGCCTTTGCTTGTTACTGGGGCTGTACCCTCAAGGATCTACCAGTTGTACCCTTAGCTGTAGGTAATTGTACCTTTTAAGGTACAAACATGGACTCTGGTAAACATTTATGCACCATTGGTGGTACATTAATGTCGTTTGTACCCTGGGGATGCTCTTTAGAGTCCATTTCTGTACCTTAAAAGGTACAATTACAAAGGAACAGCCCCAGTGACAAGCAACGGTGCACATTTTTGCCCTTTTTTCTGACAATGTATATAAAACAAAAACATCATAAGAAACTTTTTGGGTTTGATTATTCCATGAAGGGACCAAGTAACAGGTCAGTGTTTTATATATAAATAGTACACATGCATATGTATTGTATTATATTTAATTGAATTGTTACTCCAAGCCATTCACTGTTTTCGTAATCAAAAGTAGTTAAAAATACAGTTAGTGAGATGAACTTTGAACGTGAAAAAGGAGACTTATGAAAAGGTCCTCTTTTTGTGCTTTCCAGTGAGCTACGGCTGAGCTATGTAACTATAATAGCAAAAAAGTTACAGCGTATAGGAAAACACAATTTTTTTTGCTACCCAGGCTGTAAATAAGGTGCTATATCTCAAAGGGAAAATATTTACAAAATTTTAAAAAAAAAAACATTTCTGAGCCCTGGAAGGTATGTGTCATTCACGTGCCAAATGTAATCAAAATCATACATAGAGATGCAAAAACGTTTTGCTTCTATGACAAATATATAAACATGCATAGCTTTTTGTTGGAAAAAAATCAAAGCTCAGGGTATGTATATGTATCAGTCATTCAACATAATTGTACATATAATACAGTTTTAGATTGAAAGAACCTGTTTGCTGGCACAAACCTGACTGGCATCACTGCGATCTGTAAAACTTTGTCCAGAAACACAATGCTGCCTGAATGCCTTTGCAGTGAGATGGATGCAGACCATATGAACAACTAGCCTAGAGCAAATAAAAGAATGTGTCACTGCAGCAATGATCACCTGTGGAGTCAGAGAGAGCACTAACCGGGGGGGGGGGGGGGGGGTTAATGAATCATCTATCCCAGCTAACATTAGGGCCCCCTCCCGCTTTGCCCCGCCCTGCCTCGCCTCACCTCGCCTCAGGAAAAATGGAATGGCTAGTTAAATCGTAACACCTGTGTCTATGGCGATATCAGCCTGGGCCCCCCAGATAACTTACTCTTCCCCAGGTCCTAACGCTGTACTCATTCTGTGAATATGTGTTCCTTCTCCCCTAACACAGGTTGTGTTACATCGCCCAGCTTAATTGTTTTTGCAGCCACATCACTGATGAAAATGGAGTGCGGCTGTACACAGATGCCAACTTATTCAGATTTATACCCTCTCGACATCCAGGGGGAAAAAGGTTCTTTTTTAAATATTGATTAAAATTTTGAGATAACAGGAAGTTGGGAAGGTCACACCCCCACACATGTGGCATCATCTTAAAGTGCTAACTGTCATCTTTATGGAAGAACAGGACTTTGTAATACAGAGCATATAGTATGAGAGATATGAGTGAAAACATAAAATTAGTCTGGTCAGAGATTCCTGCTTGTTACTGACACATGATTTTTTATGTTCATTTTCAACAAAACTGTCAATGTCATGGTATTAGCATATTGTACAATGACAACCTCTATTGTTGGGAGATTTGGCCCCTGGGTTGCCTGCTGCAGCCCTGCTGACTGTGACCTCAGATTTGGCCCCCCGGGGCGACTGCTGCAGCCCCGCTGACTGTGACCTCAGATCTGGCCCCCGGGGCGACTGCTGCAGCCCCGCAGAATGTGACCTCAGATCAGGCCCCCGGGGCGACTGCTGCAGCCCCGCAGACTGTGATGTCAGATTTGGCCCCTGGGATGCCTACTGCAGCCCTGCACTTGTTCTTACTGCTTACCGTGCTCCCAGACACATGAACACTGAGCAAGTACACCTCTACCATTTCTACCCTCCCAAACTCATGGACATTGAACACTTTCATTTGTATATAGTCTAGTTTTGTACGTGTTTTCAGTTCTAACAACAGCAGCAACAATACAAGGGCTATTTACAATGACATACACACGCTCGCGAGACATGCGCTTATTCCACCGGCGCTATAATATTAACGTTGGGGGAGACGGGTGCGTGGTCAGAAGTGTGACGTCACGTCGCATTATAGGGTGAATCTGTAGTTGCGCTGTATACGGTTCTTTTTTTAAAATAAGTAAGCTACTACTATTACAATCACAATATATAAACTGATATTCATCTTCTCTAATATGGCAGCTTATGTGCGGCAATGTCCCGCATAATGTATGCTGAATTTGCGGGAATTATTAAAATTATGCACAAACCGCGAAATACTGCCACGAATGTCAGGCCATTCAGTTTGGAAAAATGACCACACGTGGTCCACACATGGTCCACTATGATGCCCTTGTCACTGTCCTGCACCGTCTTCTCCCAAAAACACATCTTAGCGTTCTGGGAAATGAATCACTAGCACAATCACAACATGCATGAAATAGCAACTAGGAGAACTTTTGCTAAAGACTCATGGAAGTAAATATAGGGGATTTATTTGATCTCATCTTAGTTGTAAATGTAACTTTCTTCCAGCACTGTTTATAAACTAAATGATTCTGAGTTTTTGTAACGGAGTAACTTTATGGTGTTTTCCAAATTAATGCCAGGTCTGCCCCGTGCTTTGACAAGCTTCTAACTCTTCTTTTGACCTGACAGCAAACATGGAATGAGAATTGGGACTGACACAAATTTACCGCTGTGTTAACAACGTTGCTATTTGTGGTATGCTATTAATTAAATAACAAAGCTAGTTGCAGGTTGCACAATCAAATAAGATAATCTTTATGAAAACTGATGTACATGAGACTATTAAACTCCACCATTTCAGAAAATCTTTTATTAATTAACTGTTGAGTATGATACACCGTTTTCGAGGAGTAATGTTTACACACAGAGCGGTACCGCGCCGCTCTCTACGTTTACTGTCCCTTTGCTCGCGGGTCTGCGTTCAAACTAAACCATTTTAACAGATGGTAGTGGTTCTCTATGTGAAAACTGTCAGCAAAAACGGAAACACTTTAAATTATGTGATGAGATATATTTGTCGTACGTGTTTCACATATAAATCAAGCATTATATATATTATTTAGGGGGATACTCCCTCGCGTCTCAGCAGTGGGGGGACGTGTCCCCCCGTCCCCCCTAATTCTACGCCTATGTATTCAATTGACATGTTTGGTAAATTCTATATGTAATACAATGCAATGCAGGTATATGGTTATTTTGGAAAGAAATATAGCCTATTTACTTGGGGTTTCATTAAAGTAAGACGGAGGTTTATTTGAAATGAAGTGTGGGGTTTCGCTGCTTAAAATGACTTCACGTTTTTCACATATCCCGGAAGTAACCTTTATTTCTGTGCATTTCCTAACATTTGACACTGGAGGGCGCACCGTGCATTAGAATAAAAATGGCAAAACAAATTGTGCATTTCGTGTGGAGTGACGACGAAGTTCATTTACAGGTCATTCTTTTCAACTGCGAGATAAAAAAAATAAGAACAGTGTGTACGCCTGTCTGCCTGACTCGTGTAAGTTTCAACATAACACTATTGCGCTGCACAAGCAGCGACCTGACTTTGTTTTGAAAATGTCTGAGATGTTGACCTAAAGCTGGGATTGTATGAACCAATTTATACATTTTTTTTTCAAATAAAATTAGATTTTATATTTTACAAGTGATGTGCATCCTGAAATGTGCTTCTTTTTCACCTTATCATATAGATATATATTTTTAAAATGTATGGAAGTATTGTGCAATAACTGGAAAAAAATGAAATTGATGGATCAGTCATACTAACTGTTGCCCTTCTGGATGTTTTGTATGTTTGTGTGACGATTTCCATACCCAAGCAGGTCACAACACAGTTGTTTTACATGCAGACTTTTCATTAAAAACAGTGGTGAACCAACAAAGTGGAAAGACAACTTTCTCTCAAAGCACTTTATCTCCATGTCCATACATGGATCCATTGTTTATCATCATAATAAACTGTAAATTAAGCAATGAAAGTGTCACTTTAGCTAACAGTGAAAGACGCTCGATCGGCGCTGTCAGAAATTGCGCGTGTTTGAGTGCACGTGCGTCTTCGTGAGGCTCAGGAAGGTGTCTGTTTAGAGTCTGGCTATGGTGGCAAATGTCCAACTAGAAACAGACAGAGGGAAAAGGCATTGTTATCGATGCTTTCTCCTGTGTGAGGGCAACGGGGGAGCTGAACAGCGTTTGTGTGGGTTAAGGGACTTACAGGGTTTAAGGCAACATTGTAATGTTTTCCTTAAATATAGCACATTCCCCCCTCTATTCCCCCCAATGGCATATTTAAAACAGATATTTCAGAAGTGAGTTTTGACCATCATTTTATGGGATTACTTCATATACTTGATTATGAGAAGCACTAGGATTCTGATGATTAAACCAGAGTAGAGCGTCATTATGGTGGACGAGCTCCAAACACAGTAGCAGGACCGAAGGGAGTAAACAGGTCCCCTCATCTGGCCTTGGTCCTGCTCCGGGCTCATTTAGGTAACAGGTTATTGGGACCCAGCTTCCTCTGACTCAGCGGACACCTTGTTGCTCTGCTCCAAGTGCACTGGTAAGAGCAGGGCACAGGGGGTCAGGGAATTACATATGCCGACAGGGGCAGCTAAACAGGGAACTATGCTAACTATTTGCCTTGTGACACTGCAGTCTCAACACCCCCCATCGATATCACCAGCCAACGCGCTGTAATTCTCTCTCTTCTGCTGGCCTAAAGGAGCGCCACGGCGTTTCCACAAATAAATCTGTTTTCCAGCAGCTATGTGAAATCATCGCCCCATCGTGCTGAGGTACTGAAAAGCGGCATGGGCCCGGAAGACGAGGCAGCGGTGAGGAAAATGAGCCCAACTCTCCATATGGGAGCAGTGTCTGTCTGTTTGTCTGTCTGTCTCCAGGAGAAGCGTGTGTGCAGGTCCGTGTCACTGGGGGAGATTATACAAATGCTATTCGATCTCTTTATTCCTGAAAAACAAAAGCTGCGTGATTTTAAACCACACTGACTGTATTTTTGAGAAGGGTGGGAGCTCTGTACTTAGTATTGGCTAAACATTTTGGGAGTCCGGGTATAATGTGCGATCGCACCTCCATCACGTCCCATAGCGCACAACGACAATCACAAGTGTTTGTGTGAGTGTCTCGGGAGTCCCACCACCTTCATCTCCACCGCCTTTCTGCCCGAAGGCTGCACAGGCTGACAGGCTTTCCTGGAAATGAATAGCTGTGCTACTCCCAGCTTGGCCCAGAATCCTTCACATCCCCGAGGCCTTGATAGCTGAGGGCTGGGCCTGAATGGGGCATGCACAGTGCTGGAGGAGGCACGGAACACAGAAGAATGTGGTAAACAGATACCACTCATATTTCAGTGGTAAACGCAGTATAAAGCGAGCTAGTGCCGGCTGGATGGAGTCCTCGCCCCTCTCCGGTGCTGTTTCCATCCCGTCCTTTGGTCTTTCTGGTTTCACTAAATTTTTGTCCGTGAAAATCATTATAAACTGTGATGTTTTCTTTCATGCGTATGTTCTGGAGATGTGGTCATGATGTATATGATAGGGCACATTCAAAACCATAATAGAATAGAATAGAATATCCACTTTTATTGTCATTCAGAAATACACCAGTTAGTGCACATCAGAACGAAATTTTGTTGCATTTTATACTCACTATAAGGCACTGTGCAGGAAAATTATTCATTTTATTAATTCATTTGATTAAAAAAAACCTGCACTGAAAAGCATCCGAGGACTTTGGAAAGTACCTACATTCACCTTCACTACCGTGTCCCGGCACTAGGCAGCCCAGGGCCATGTGTTCCTGTTCCTTCTG